AGGGGGGAAGATAGATCCCAGTATCACCAACAATGGTAAAAATTTCAACAGCTCTTCGTGAAGCAGCATGTGGAAGCTGGGGCTGGGTACACTTTTGCTCAGTTTTGGTTGCTGTGCCAATTATGCCCCAGGATGCCCTGATAATGGTGATTAATGCCCTGATCCACATGGTTAGACTACTGTAATGTGCTTTACATGGGTCTGCTTTTGGAGGCAACTCTGAAACTACAGTTGGTCCAAAATGTGGTAACAAGGCTTCTGATAGAACAACCCCATCAGAGTAGAATTATACCTATTCTGCATTGGCTGCTGGGTAAATTCCAGACCCAGTTCAAACTCCTAGTAATTGCTTTTAAAATCTTTCATTGGCTGCACCAGGTTATATCAGGCAACCAAGTTATATTGGGGAAGAGAGAACCTGCCCAGTCAGTATGACCTCGAGAGGGCCTGTTGAGAGCCCCACCCCACTGCCCATTCTGCAAAGTCTGTGACAACGGGCTTTTTCAGTGTTGGACCCTGTTCTTTGGAACACCTTACCTTCATAAGTGAGGATGGGCCCCCCTTCCGTGTATTTAGGAAGCAAATTAAAACTTGTGTTATTATAGTGAGCATTCAGCTCCTAATTTGTCCTGGTGCTTCTTGTGTATTTAATTTTAATTTGTATTTACTTGTTTGCACTTTATATTATGGTTTTAACTATGTATACCAGTTATGTTGTTTGCCATCAGGAGTCCTAATTTATTGAGGCAACTTATAGATACAGTAAATAATAAATAAATACCTAAAGAGGGAACATGAATTGCTGCCTGGTGATAACCCAAAAGGTCTATGTAAGATGCAGGTCTGCAGAGGAGAAATTCCAAGAGCAAACAATACAGCTTAGGCTTGCCCAATAAATACTGTTATCTAAATGGCTGCAGTGTATGACAGCAGCTTTCGTGAAAGAAAAAGCTTGGAATCTGATCAATCTGGTTTCTTCTATCATCATGTCTTCTTTGACGTGTTACATTTTAATTTCATTCTAAGAGGTCAGAGATAGATTTTTAAATGTATATTCTTTCAATGTAGCCTATATTCTTCAACGTGTCTACCACTATTTGTGCAATACTTTCAGAACAGTATTTTTCTCCCATTTATGATTGGGAAAAGATGAGTGTTAGCAATTTTTATCTGATGCAAAAGATTGTTCTGGCCAAGAAAATTCAGATAGGTACCCAAATTAGATTCCAACAGAATTTATGTAGATTTTTATATTCCTAATACCTAATAATAACTAAGTCTATAGTTCCCAACCTGTGTGTTATGGTACCCTGGGGTACTGCATTGAACTCAGAGGGGCACCTGGGATATTTTGCAGAGCACAATGAAAAAAATTACTCAGACAGTAATGTTGTAGTGAACCAAAAAGCCTGGGAACCTTGAACTAAGTCACTGTTTAGTTTCTCCATTTTCACCATGACATAATATTGTCCAGAGAGTACCAAATTTTGAACAATCTCATTTTCAATGTGCCTAAGGGTTCAACATTAGTTTTCTTTAAATTTATATTGAAATGTGGAGAACCTAGAGCACATGTGGAAAATTTCTAATCCTCCAGAAGCTGTTGAACTGGTGTCCATCAACTTCAGTTAACATAGCAAATACTGAAGATGCTGGGAATTGCAATAATTGGAGAATCTCAGATTTTCCACTTCCAATCTACACAGTATCCAATTTACAAAGTATCTTGTTCACTTCCATGATAAGCCAGAAGTGAAGCCATTCTGTATGTTATTTTTGCTCTCATTTTACTAGTCCTAGTTTTCCCTGCTCCCTTAGCTCCACCACTTTCATACTGCCTTGTTTCATTCATGATTTGGCAATTGCTTAATCCTCACTAGAAATAGTTGTTGTGGTGATGGTGGTGGTTGTTATTATTATTATTTGATTAGCCATCAGGCCATATCAGAAAAAAAAATACAGACCAATAATAACACCATATATAATAGAATAGAATAAAATATATGCCAGGTTCCTCTACTCAAGGGGAATATATTTTAGCCACGAAAACTATTAGATTGATGGTTCTATAATTGCTAAGATCCTCTTCATTCCCTTTTTTGTATATAGGAACCACAATTGCCATCTTCCATCAAACCTTATATGGCAGTCATTATTTATATATGTGAATAAACCCACCAAGAGAGGAACCCACCAGTTGGGGTAACTTTTAAATAGATTGGGCAGTAGAAAGTCCTTGCCAGGGGCTTGACTGCTCTTCAAACCTTTTATAACAGACTTAATCTCATTTTCTAAAACTGGTGGCCAATGGGCTATACCTTCTGTAGGTAATAAATCACTTTTTAATAACTGTTTCTCAACAGGTTCCAAGAGAGCAAGCAAGTGATGATAATAATTTTGCCAAACCTCAGCTGAGTTTATTATATCGAATACAAAATCTCTTTTTTTAGGAGTCTGGCCACAGAGTGCCAAAATATAACCAAATTATGATTTCTAGAAATAGTACATGAATGGGACCTCACACTAAACTTCTTTCCAAATAATTGCCACTATGTTCAATACCAAGAGCAAAAAGCATACTACAAAATGGAAAATATAGGACCACCCAGATCTTTAAACACTAAGTATTTTTATTAAGATAACTGACCAGTCCAGATAGATCTTTACAATATTCTATCTTCCTTCATGCCATAAGAGTGAATGACAGGTAGCACTGCGTGTATTATCACATATGCAGGTTGCTTCTTCCAGCCTAATGCTACAACCTGCCTGACTTTAAAGGCAAAAGCTGCTGCAACTGCATTTGCTACATGCAAAAAAATTATCTCTGGATTTTTCTTTAAAAAGCAAACACCCATCATGAAGAATAGTGGCACAGAACTGGTTGTTCAAGGTCTTTGAACTCTTCTCCCTACTTCCCTTATTGGACTGCGCTGTCTGTGGTGGCAATTTTCAGCCCCCTTCTTTCTCCCACACTATAAGATATATAAGGTCTTTTAGGTATTCTCCCAAAACACTGCCATGCTTTAATTTTCTTCTCATCTCTACTCTCTTTCTTTCAGAAAACTGATCAGTGATATAGGAGGCTTATAGCACCAATGCAATAAGTGCTTTGGCTCACGTCAGTCCTACTGCTGTTCCATATAACATTCATTTCCACCCACTATATAACTTCCAACTCCATCACTACACACATTTAAAATGTTCAGGGAAGACCCAGATAATTCCTTAATATGCTCAAGTTGCATGCTTTATTGGCATCTTTGTATTGGCCGAGAAGCAATATACTGTAGGCTACTAATCTCTTAGTCTAACCACTAGCTGCACCATGCTGAAATGGAATTCCTGCCATCTTGCACTGTATCTTCTTCTGCTGTTCCTCCATAAGCGGAATCTCTTTCTTACCAGCACGCATTATTAATGATAATTTGAAACACTACTGGATCCAAGCCAGTGTTATACTGGATTTGTATAACACAACTCATATTAGAAATTTGTTACTAGGTTTAAAAAAAAGTGGTTCAATATTTAGAAGCTTATGCAATTTTCATTATTACCTTTAATCTGTTATCACACATATACAGGTATTATAAAATGTGAATCCTTTCCTACCTTCCTTGAAGAATACGAGTAACATCGTCTAGATCATTTCTGCTTACAGCACGGTGGAGCTGCTCCCCACTCATTGGTTCACCTAAAGAAAAAAAGGAAGTTAAAATATATATACTATCTGTGTTCTGTCAATCATTAAAAATGTCAAATAATTTATTAGTTTTCACATATTTCAATATAGCATGTGGATATCTTTAAAGATCCTGTTTTGTTGATAAAGGAATTGTTCAAAAGATGAGCTCAAAATCTTTTACTGGGAAATGCAAGAAAATTATTTTGAAAGCTTTGAAACAATTTTCCCAATGAATACTCATAAAGAAACAATCAGTTAACATATACAGTATGTGTATATAC